AACTTGATTTCCCCCCCCCTGTTTCTGCCATGTAAAGCAGTACATTTTAAAGATCAATATAGCTATGTAATAGTTCATGTTTACTCTCAGGTAACAGGGGTTATAACACAGCAGAACAGTATGCAGCAGCAGTGTTTAAAGTTCACTGCACTGTAGCCTCAGAAGTTATTTGTAGGCATTTTGTTTCTTGGTCAGCCTAGCAACATGACATTTTCTATATTTTTACTTTTAAAATGTATGGACATATCAATAAAAATTATAAATAGATTCTTGCAATTTCTGGCAAAAATGTTCACAAGGAAGACACTAACAGGACATGTAACTAGCTTAAGAAAAGACGGGTAGCTATGTTAGCGTGCATCTGAAAAACAACCAGGAGTCCTGTGGCACCTTAGGGACTAAATCTGTTATTTCCTAAGGTGCCACAGGACTTCTCATCTTTGTTTTATAAGAAGTAGGTGACTCATTTAGAACATTCAGGGCATGTCTATACAGCAGCTTTATTTTGGAATAACTGATGTTATTCTGAAACAACAAAGTGAGCCTCTACACAGCAAGCCCATTATTTTGAAATAATGTCAAGCTGGAGAATTTTTTACTCTGATACCTGTAACCCTCATTTCACAAGGGGTAAGAGAAGTTGAAGGAAGAGTGTTCTTCCTTCAGCTTCCTACTGTGTAGACAGCACCAACAGCCGAATTAAGCTATTTTGACTTCAGCTATACAACTGACATAGCCTAAGTTGCGTAGCTTAATTTGACTTTTGCCCTGCTGTGTAGATGTGCCCTCTCTTCTGATGCAAAATAGAATACTGAAGGCATACTCTAGGTTGAGCATCAAAAGGAATAAATCACATTGTGTGTACAATACTGGGAAATGTTGCATTTTATATACACTCAGCACACTAATTGGCTTTAAATAGACTATCACAATGATGGACAAACTGTGGCTTGCGAGCCATGTGAGGCTCTCTTACAGTTAAAGTGCAGCTTTCAGAGACCTTTTCCCCCCATTCATCACCTGCCAGACTGGGGGTGGGGAGCGCTTGGGATCTCTGTCTTGCAGCTGAGTGGCATGATAGGGGTTTTTGCCCACTAGGGACAGGGGTCTCAGGGACTGAGGCTTCAGCAGAAGTGAGGCTGAGGTCTGGAGCCCCATCAGGTGTTATCTGTGGGGCTGAAGCCATAAACTCCAGCAGGCGTGTCCCAGCTCTCAAACATCTGAAGACTGTCGTGTGCTGCTTGGAGGGTCAGGCCACACCTAGTATATCAGATTTTTGTTATTGTTGTAACTATTTTACAAGTGCACTTCTATTTTCAGCACATCCCCATCCTTTATGAATACAGAAGGTATTCATAGCATTAATCTGAAATTCCCAACTCCTAGCTATGCCATTTTGTCAGAATGTAAAAATAATTAATAAGCAGGTCATTAATATTATTTTTTTAATTCTGACCATCTAATGAAAAGGATAAAGGCAAAGGGGGCTTATTCTTAAACCACTCAGTTACTTTCAAACACACAAAAACCTATTTGTATATTAGACTGTTCACCCTTCTGACCTGTGATGCACACAAGAGAGGAAAATTATCTGTACTATCATAATGACAAAGGCCCTAGTGATGGAGTTCATTGTGTTAGGTGCTGTACAAACACAGAACAAAAACACATTCTCTGCCCCAAGGAGCTTACCATCCAAACATCAGGTAACAGATGGTATAGAAATACAGACAGTTGGAGAAGTATAAGAAAACAATGAGACTGTGTTGCTTTTCATTTGAAGATCATGTCAAGGAATCTCTTTCAGAATAAGACTGTCTTCACTGACACAAAGGTGTGGGGGTTTTATTTCAAAAAACACCCCGTGAAATAACTAATACGTAGGGTCCTCCCAAATTCATGGTACATTTTGGTTAATTTCATAGTCATATCATTTAAAAAATAGTAAATTTCATGATTTCAGGTACTTAAGTGTGAAATTTTACAGTGCTGTAATTGTATGAGTCCTGACTAAAAAAGGAATTGGGGTGGTTGCAAGATTGTCTTAGGGGGGTTTCAGTACTGCTACCTTTACCTCTGTGCTGCTGCAAGCAGCAGCACTGCCTTTAAAGCTGGACAGATGGAGCGTGATGGCTGGTTGCCAGAAACTCAGCTCTGGAAGCAGAGCCACAATCAGCAGCAGCATGGAAGTAAATATGACATGATGTGCTATTGCCACCCTTACTTCTGCACAGCTGCCTGCAGAGTTGAGACCTCCATCAGCAGCTGCCCGTCTCTAGCCACCCAGCTCTGACGGCAGCAACACAGAGGTAAGGATGGCAATACTATAATCCTCCCTTAAATGACCTTATGACCCCTCTGCATTTCCCTTTCAGGTCAGGACCCCCAGTTTGAAAAACTCTGGTCTCCCCATGCAATTAGTATTTATAGGGTAAAAGCACACAGAAGGCTAGATTTCAGGGTGCAGGAAGAGTTTCACAGACATGAATATGGCAGACCCCTACTAATATGGGATAGCTATTTCACCACAAAACTCTAAGAGGAGACAAGGCATTGGTAGTGTTTACTTCAAAGTAGTTACATGAGATCTACACTATACCCTGCTGCCCATAGTTGACCTAATCTAGTTTATCTAATAGTAAACACTATAAATGCCTTGTCTGCACTGTGTTTTTACAATAGAATAGCTAATATGCTTTCAGCTGAACTAACTCAAGCTGTAGTTTATATCCCTGACAGTGTGCCCATCTCAAGTTAAAAGCACCATGAGTGGTGTGTGTGGTTGTAGAGTTAAGGGCAACAATTCATTTATAATTCAAGTTAACTCTACAGTGAAGACAACCTCTAGCTATCTGATATAGTAACAATTTATTAGTAGAATTTTAAAAACCCTCTGCACAATAACTCTGGGTTTTATTTTTAAAGTCACATTTAATGTCACTAAAGAATTTCTCCAGCTAAAGTCATGCTTTTATTACATACATCCACCACATATATTTACAATATTATTCTATGACTGATCAAAAATATAATTACACAAACATGTTACACTGTATGGCAGAAAAACTTGCCAGCTGAATACACTGGCCGCTTGAATTTCCGCAAGATCACTGACAATCTCATGTAAGAAATCAGTGCTTCTTGCGGAAATACTATGCTGCTCCCATTTGGGCAAAAGTCCTTTTGCGCAAAAGGCCAGTGTAGACAGCTCAGATTTGTTTTGCGCAAAAAAGCCCCGATCGCGAAAATGGCTTTTAACTTTTCCGTTAAAAGCATTTGCGGAAAATCATGCCAGTCTAGACGTAGCCTATGAGTGGATACACAAATAGTGAGATATTTGGCTAATTTTAAAGAGAAAAAGTCAGGAGAGCTACCTAGCAGAGAACAGAAGACAGAGCAGAAGTTAAGTCCAGGCAGAAATAGATATATTAGATATCCTCCACACATGGGCTGTTCTTGCAGCAGGTGTACTTTATATACCTCTTCACTTTATCACCAACTGATATACTTAACTGTTGAGCCTCTTCCAAACAAAGGGAAAAAATAACTCAGAAGTAGACTTTAGAGAGCAGAGTTAAACTCTATTAAAAAGCAGCAAAGACTGAAGGAGCCAAAAAGAAATTGCTCCCACACTGCTGGCAATAATTAGGAGTTACAAATCAGCCCAGATGTATTAACCCAAAGAAATTAGGGAGGGGGTGTGAAACAGGGCAAGGAGAGGGGTATCATTTTAACATATTCCCTCCTCCTCCTCTCTTTTCAGCTATTAGATCAAACTTATGTTGAAGATGATGGAGAAATAATACACTCTCCATCAACCCACCCAGAGCAGGCAACAGGAATTCCCAGAAGAGGAAATTGCAGTATCCAGTCAGCCTCCTCATTTCCACTGGCAGAGCCTGCTACAAAGAGTCTCACCCCCTTCCTCACAGACCTTAGCACAGTTTGCTTTCACCCGGTCTTGTCATCAGTCATCTTGTTCCTGTTCACCCACTAGCCGCTCAACCCCTTCTCTGCCAGTCACAAACCATTCAACAGACAGCCATTCTCATGCTTTACCACCACCTCTTCTCTCATGGATACCTTTCTCCAGTCACCCTTCCTCACTCCATGTCTGACAGCATTCTCACCTGTAACCCTTCTATTCCAGTCAGACACATCAGTCCACCCTAAACCCCATCTCCCCAGACAGCCCCTTTCCCACTTTCCTTAGCCTTCCCACCAAATCATCCGGTCAGGCCCCACCCTCACACTTGCCCTCCCCAAGCCAGCCCTGTGACCTCCTCTTCCCCCCCTAGACAGACAGCTCTGGACATGGGCAGGAGGGGAATAGCTCTCAAGCTACAAGCCTCTACAGTAGGAGTTAGGCTTCTTGTTTTGTTCAGCATCTGTGGGAAGGTCACTTCAGGACTGCAGCTATCACTCTAACCCCATCCCAGGGCTGCTCAGCACACACGGCCCAGCCCCACTGCAACCACCCCTCAAGCCCATTGCAATTTCCCTCAAAATCCCCAGTGCCCCGCCCCACAGCACCCCCACAGCTCAACTCAGCCCACCCAGTTCCACAGCACCCAACCCCATACCCAGCCCTACTGCAACCATCCCCCGTGCCCAGTCCACCTCACCCAGCGGCACTGCAACTGCCCTCCAGTGCCCAGCCCCACAGCAGCTACCCGTTACCCCGCTGCAACCGTCTCCACAGTACTCAGCCCTTCGCACCCAGCCTGCCCCGCTGCGCAGCCCGCGACAGGCTCCCAGATACCCCCGCCGCCCCCTTCCAGATACAAATCCCTGGGGGGAGGGGCTGTCCCTGCTCCCGTCGAGCCCCCGCAGCAAAGTCCTTCGCAGCGCGTCCCCCCCTCGCCCCACCACCGAGAGCGTCCCAGCGTGTCCCGGGCGGGCTCGCCCCACGCCCAAGCCGCGCAGCTCGGCCTCAGCCCCCCGCCGAGGGGCGGGCTCCTCCTCGCCCGCCCGGGCTGCAGCCCTGCGGCGCCGCTCACCTTTCTCTGCGCGCTCGGGACTCGCCGCCGCTCGCCGCGCTCCCCACCTCCGCCCGGCGCGGGGGCGGCGGCAGCTCCGCCCTGCACCTGCCGCGCTTGCTGCTTCCCCGCCCGCAGCGTGGGGAGAGAGCGGCCGCGGGGTCCTCCCCGGGCACCTGAGCAAGGGAGCCCGGTCCACCCTCGCCTGGGGCCGCTAGGTGAAGGACAGGTCGTACGCCTCCTCCCCGCCCGGGAGCTGGGCTGTCAGAGCCCTGCCGAGCACACCCCCGCCACCGCCCCGCGGGGGGAGGGCAGGCCCGGCTGATTTAAGGAGCTGAAAATGTGGGGACGGTGAAGGGGGCTTAGAAAGCCCCACGGCGAGGTTTGGAGCGCCCCGTATTGCTGCTGGAAGCAAGGTTCCCGGGGGGATTAGAAGGTACCTGTATAGAACGAAAGTCGGCTTGAGGGCTAGCCAGAGAGGGGAGCCTAGAGGCAGAGGTGCAAGTGTCAACCTATTATTCAGCCACATAAACTGTAGGAGACTGAATGCAATTGACGTGGCTCCAGCTTTTCATTCCTTGGCGGGGCTTGCTTTTGTTTGGTTGTAAGGGTAGGACAGGACTCTGAACTTGTCACTGCCGCGTGCTTTGTGTTTTTAAACAAGCTTTGGACCGATCCAGAGGCCAGGGAAGGGCCTTTGGCGCGTTTTGTATAAATGGAATAAATATATTTGAAAAATAATGTCATACAGTACCTGTAATCCTAAAGCACTTCCCAAGTCTTGGCCCTGATCCTGCAAGCACTTTTGCAAATGTGTAAGAAGTGTGTGAAGGGCATACACTAAGGACATACCTATACTACAGAGGTCGCTCATCTAGCATTCGATTCAGGGGGGTCTAGTGTAGACCCGCCCAAATTGAATAGTGAGGGTAGACCCCACCGCCGATTGGTACTCCTCATTCTTCCAGGAGCAAGGGAAGCTGATGGGAGCATGTGCTCCTATCGGCCTACTGCAGCGTAGATGCTGCTGTGGCTTGGCTTATGATCAGTCAATTCCAGCTACGCATTTTGCATAGCTGGAGGGCTTACCTTAAGCTGATCTACCTGGCCTAGTATAGGCCAAAGCTAAGTGTGTATAGTATCGGGGCTATATATATATATATATATATATGTTGCCATATTGATAAAATGTACAGCTTTAGGGGGATGCAGGGCCTGGGACACCCCTTTACCCTAGACCTCTCCCCAACCTGCTCTGCCCCCACTCTACCCTCTCCCTTGCTCCACTTCACCTCCACCTTGCCTCTTCCCATCCCTGCTCTGACCACTTCCTCAAAGCCCCTTTCCAAGTGATGGGGCCTTAGAGTCAACCATGGGGGCCTGGCACTGGCTTATTTCGGACTGGTTATTTCAAAATAGCAGTAGTGTGGATTGCTGCTATTTCAAAATAGCTATACCCCAGAGTAATTCAAAGTAATTGTTTCCCAGTGCTTCCTGGGGCTCTAAGTCAAGGTAGCATGTCCACATTAATAGAGCCTGCCTTGGACTAATTTTGAGGCCTGCCTTGGACTAATAGCATGGACACTATTTCAAAATTATTATTTGGAGAATTACTTCAAAATAAATTGCATCAGAATAATTTCCCAGTGTAGACATGCCCTTGTGTTACTGTAGTAATCCTACTGAGTTACCACTGTTGTTAGCCTGAACAAATGACTTATTTTTAGCAAAACATGGGGTTTTTTTTGTTATAACAATAAATCGTATATACTAAGGGCACTTAAAATCAAGATTGGCTATTAAGCATTTTATGGTATATTAATTTATCTTACTTTGTATTTTAATTAGCAAAACTGAAATTATGCAGCTGTTTGGCCTTGCTTTTCAAAGCCATAACAATTATTCGTAGTTATATGATATTTGGTTTTCAGCTAACAATAGCATGATATACAAAATGGCACTGGTAATTATTCCCCAGTGCTTCCTGGGGCTCTAAGTTGAGGTAGCATGTCCACATTAACGGAGCCTGCCTTGGACTAATGTCAAGACTTCCTTGTATTGTGGATACACTATTTTGAAATAATTATTTTGGGAGTTACTGTTTCAAAATCATTTCCTAGTGTAGACATGCCCTTTGTTTTGAAGAATATCAGGAACATAAAGAATCCCAACTAAAATAGTATTGGTCCATTACTAGATAAAAATGATAGAATTATCAACAATAATGCAAAACAGGAAATAGGATTGATAAAAATTTTGGTTCTGTATTTGGGAAAACAGTATATAATATTATATGATGATCATGAAAGACTTTCCATTCCAATAACAACTCAGGAAGATGTTAAACTGCATCTGCTTCAGTTAAATATTTTCAAATTAGCTGGTCTGAATAATTTGCATTTTAAAATAGTTTTAATTTTAAAAGCATGTCCCATGGAGCTCACTGGACAGTTTGTGTTGATTTTTCAATAACTCCTGCAACACTGGGAAAGTTCCAGAAGACTAAAGAAAGCTAATATTGTGCCAATATTTAATAAGGGTAAACAGAATGACATGAGTAATTATAGGCCAGACAGCTTGACATCTATCCTAGGCAAAATACTGCAGTGGTTGATCAAGAAAACTTTATTATTAAAGGATTGAAGAATAGTATCATTAATGCCATCAACATGGTTTTATGGAAAATGAATCTTGTCAAGGTAACTTGATATCCCTTTTGGGTGATAATGGTAAAAGTGTTTAAATGACCTATTAGAACAATGGTTTGCAAGTAGGGGAAAGAACACCTGATGGTACACAGAGGTCTTTCTAGGGGTGCATCAGATGACCTAGCTTTTTGTCTAGTTTTACTACAGGCTACATAAAAAGCACTAGTGAAGTCAGTACAAATTAAAATGTCATGCAAGGATTTGTTTATACTGCACTATATAAAATATGCTAAATGGAAGAACAGTATTTATATTCCAATTAATTTATTTTGGTATTTTATATATGGTAAAAAATGAGAATACAATTTTTTAGTAATATTGTGATGTGATACTTTTGTATGTTTATATCTGATTTTGTAAGCAAATAGTTTTTAAGTGAGGTGAAATTTTGGATATGCAAGACAAAAATCAGACTTTACTGTAGTCTGAAAGGTTGATAAATGTTGTAATAGACTTTTGTGTAAGGCATTTAACTTGGTACTGAAACATTTTGATTAAAAATTAGAATGATGTAAAATTCGAGTGGCGCACATGGATTAAAAACTAGCTGACAGATCTCACATTGTAACTGTAAATAGAGAACCATCATCAAGCACAAAGGGATCAGTTCTTGGCCCTACATTATATAAGATTTTTTTATCAATGGCCTAAAAGGAAACAATTATTTCTGGTAAGGTCTGCTGATGACACAAAGATGGGGGGGGGGGATGGTGGTAAATAACAAAGAGGACAAATTGCTGTCATAGAGGAATTTGGGTTCCTTATGGAATGGTGGGTTCTATTCTGGGAATCAGCAACTGAGAGACTTGAGGTTCATGGAAGACAATTACGGAACACAAACTCCCAGTGTGACACCCTGGCCAAAAGTGGGTAATATGATCTTTGGGAATATAGACAGAGAATCTTAAATATGAGAAGGATAGTTACATTATCTGAGTATTTGGCACTAGTATGATAACCACATGAATACTGTATCCAGTACTGGAGCCCACCAATCTGGAAGGATGTTGATAAATTAGAAAAGGTTCGGAAAGAAAAGCCATGAGAATGATAAAAGGATTAGAAAAAACTTCCATGTGGGGATAGATTTAAGCCTTTCACTATTTAAGTTAACAAAGAGAAGGTTATCTTTAAGGGATCACTTGATCACAGTCTTTAAGTACATACATAGAGAACAAAAATTTGTTAATGAGCTCCTCACTCTAGCAGACAAAGATGATCATTGGATTGTGATGCTTTTCCTAGCACTGGCCATTTTAAAATCAACATTAGATACCTTTTCTAAATGATATGCTGAGTCTAGTTCAAACAGGAATTAATTCAGGGAAGTCACCTATATAATATGGTTGATCAGCCTAGATAATCACATTGGTCCCTTCTCACTTTATAATCTATGAATCTGTGGAAAACTTCAAAATAGTAAATTGATTTCTTTACTTAACTAATCGTATTGGGCCAATCCAGCTCCTATTATGCACAACAGACTTCCACTGATTTTTATGAGAGTTGGATTGGGATCATCACACATGGACCAAAGTCTGTAAACTATTGAGTACTGAATAAAGAGTGTATCCTATAATCATTGTTAGAATTTAAGAAAAACAAGTAATAAAGTTTAAGAAATATATAACCTGCATTCTGAGATATATTGCTCTTTAAATGGATTTGTATACTTGTACTGATTAACTAATTTTTCCTATGAAAGTTTATGTGGTGTTAAGTAACACCAGCAGGCCCCTATGTATACTACATTATCCTCCAGGAATGTATATTTCAGACTCAGCCTTCCAGGTCTATATAAGATGGAAGCTTTACCTTCCCCATACATGGTTTAAAATACATTTTTAAACTCATTGTGCTTCATATTTTATTGATTTTTTAAAAATATATATATTTCAAAATAATCTCAATTCATTTTTTTGCGGTGGTAAAATGTCAATACCCAAATATGAACGTCCATCCATTTGACATCTAAAAGTCACTTGTTCAACAAAGATTAGATTTCACTCATATCATGCCAGCTTTTCTTCACATGCAGGCATCTACAATTCAAGAGAAATGTAGCCTAATCCTGATTCATAAAACAGTATCAGGGGGATATTGTTGGGAATAGAGAAATGTACATAAATTCAATTCCATCTTAACTTTCAGCACATGGATTCTGTGGTTCAAATGAAATCTTGCTGCCTAATTTGTAAAGAGATTTGAAACTTTCTATAGGAAAGAAGCCAGTTCTGCAGTCTATAAAACTAAGCATATCTAATAATGCCCATTAATTATCTTACTCTGTACATCTTTTGAAAATGTAAATCATAATATAGGTGCTAAGTATTATCATTAGTAATCTTCAATCTTAGCAAGTTAAAACCTTGAACATATTAAATACATTGAAATAAAATATTCTGGGGGGAGAGGTTATTCAAGCATCTGTGATGTCATACTCTAGAGAATAGTACTGAAATTTTTGCCATGTGTACAAGCTAAATTGGTTTCCATTTTAAAGATGTTTTCAT